GTACCTAAACGTGTCTTTGGGTATATCCTTTTTAGACCTTATTGACAAGTGGATCTTCAAAAGATTGGGTGAAAATCTCGACCTACACCAAAAGATTGGAATTTTATACCTCAACATAAAAGTAATTCCTATGAAGAAGGAAATGGATAAAGTACACAACCAAATTCATCAGTCAAATCACTTTGTTTTCAATGTTTATTTTGTTTTCTTGAAGAGTTTGAGTTTTTTTGCAATTTAAATTGGTTTTCACATTTTCATGATGATCATTTTGTTTGATCAAGAGTGTTATGAATTTCTTTCAAGATTGGTATTCAAGTAAAGCGCGAAAGCAGGTTTCTTCTTTTGCACACCATTCTTTCATTCAACTTATTTTAATCTTACATCAACTCTGAATTTCTTCAGATCATTATGAAGATTTTCAAAGTAAAGCCAGAAAAATGATGTGATTAATCCAAGGTTTTTATCCTGTGTTTTTCTTTGTTATTCCGGTGTGTTCTTTTTGAACCAGAATCAATAAAACAGATAGGAATTGATATAATAACAATAAAAAGATAGACGAGAGAAAGAGAAAAGTTACAACCATAATATGTATGCATGAAGAATCTGTCAGTAAATTAAAATCAAAGGATTTTGATTCAACAAATAAGAGTTCTTTGAAATGAATGAAGAAAGAACGAAGAAGACAAAAGAGAATTTCAAAGATGTCTTCGATTATTACTACCCAAATTAAATTTCTTTGAATTGAGGATTCTTGACGAGTAGCATAAGCTTAATCCGAAATATCATCAGCTAATCGATGAGACAAATGAATCCGATCCCAATCCCCTAAATGATGATCATCGTCTGATTTGTTTTGTTTGACAACATTGCATCTCATGTCTTCAACCCCAGAGAGGAAGTCCCGCTTGATCTACATGGTCAAAAAAAGAAGACAAAATCAAAATCAAAGTCAAAGAAAAGAAAAAGAAAAAAGGTCAAAAATCAACATGAAATAGATGTGATAGAAAGTTGATAGGATGACATACGTGTAATCGATGAAGCAATTAGTTTGAGGCGTCAGGGAAAATGTTGAGGAGGTGGGTGTTGAATGCCCATCGCAGATGAGTAAACGTTTGGTGAGGGGTTGCCAATAGCAGTGCTCAGCAGGCCGCGTCAGCCAGCTGATCTGAATGCATCTGTCTGTCACAGTCCACTGCACCGGCTGCGGGGACTGCGGCGCTGAAAAATATTTTTTCTTTGGGCCAGGGGTGCCATTCATTTTAGAAAAGGTAATATACAATCGGAATTTGGAAATGTGTTCCACCCACAAGTTTCCTTTATTTTTACCAACTCCAAATCCCAGTTCCTCTCCAAATCCGATTCACCCAAAATGACCGACTACCAAACCAATAACCAAATTGCGATCAGCGGTTTATCACGGTGTTACGAACTTTCACATCCTATCAAGCCTATTCAGCAGCCTTACGACCACATCAAACATCCATTCTTAAAACATGCTATTATGAACTATTACGCACAACACTGCGGTCCAAACGATCACCTCGATGAAGAGCAACTGTTGAGGTTCTGGTCGGGGTTTGACAGTGTTATAAAAGTAGGGTAGATCAGTGTCACTCCCTTCGAACAGCCTCATCATTTACTAACCAGAGTTTCATCACAGGTTATGCAGTCCCAAATCACTTACCAATTTCATAACACACGTTGGATGATCTCAAAAAAGAATCGATTGCTTAAGGCTATGAAGGTGAAACACATTAGAAGTGGATCAGAAAAAGATGATACCTTGGTACGATGTAAACTCTAGATATTAAGCCCAGTGAGTAGTTTCCGATCCCAGTTGATCCGTTGATTCGGCCGTTGGCTTACTTTCCTTGAATATTCGATACCGATTAATAGAAGTCAAAGATTGATCCGGTGCTTACTTGCTTTTAATATGGGTATTACAAGGTTACTTAACTTGTGTTAGAACAAATTTCTTTGGTTTTATTACATCACCTCCACATTGGAATTAGATTAACCAACCCTTAGATTTAGTTGCGGTCTTTTTGTATTCTAATTTCGTTGTGCACCCTTTATGCCACCCTTCAGAGTAATGATCAGGTGTTTTATTTGATTACACGTGAGATACAAAAAGGCTATTGCAGTGAGTTACCCATTAAATTTATATCTGAATGAAAGAGACATGTGCATGAGGATATATCTACATAATGAGACATTTCACATGATGCAAATTGACCAAATACCCGTAAAACTGATCTCAAATGATGGAAATTGACCAAAGACCCGTAAATGCTGATTGGAAGATATCAGTGATTGAAGTAATACGTGCATCTAACATACCGAAAGGTGAAAATAGACCAAAAACTCGTAAAAGCTGGTGGCAAGATATATATGTGAATGAAGATATATGTGCTGTGCATGTTTCATACTAGTTTATGGTAGAAATTGACCAAAAACCCCTAAAAGCTGGTTGCAAGATATACATATGTGATAGGTTTGGCAAAGTGAACAAGGCTGATTTCCAATATGCACTTAATTTTAGGTTAGTGCGCAAACTGCAAAAGTTGTGGTGTAATCATTCCTTTGAAAAGAGCTATGCGTGTTACTAGGTCAAGATATGATCATACTCAATTTAACAAAGATAACCTGTTCCGGAATATGTGAAAGGTTTGTCATAAGTTAAATGAACATGCCTGATTTCAAAAATACACTCACTTTTTGTGTAGTGCGCAAAGTGCAAAAGTTGTGGGGCACCTTGCTTTGGGAATCAGGTATGCGTGTTACTAGGTCGAAATATACAATTTGCCAAACACAACTTGTTCCGGATTATGTAAAAGGTTCGTCATAAGTTAAATGAACATGCCTGATTCCAAAAATACACTCACTTTTTGTGTGGTGCGCAAAGTGCAAAAGATGTGGGGCAACCTTACTTTGGGAATCAGGTATGCATGTTACTAGGTTGAAATATGATGATACTCAATTTAACAAAGATAACCTGTTCCGGAATATGTGAAAGGTTTGTCATAGGGTAAATGAACATGCCTGATTCCAAAAATACACTCACTTTTTGTGTGGTGCATAAAGTGCAAAAGATGTGGGGCAACCTTACTTTGGGAATCAGGCATGCGTGTTACTAGGTCGAAATATGATGATACTCAATGTACCAAAGATAACCTGTTCCGGAATATGTGAAAGGTTTGTCATAAGTTAAATGAACATGCCTGATTCCAAAAATACACTCACATTTTGTGTGGTGCATAATGTGCAAAAGTTGTGGGGCAACCTTACTTTGGGAATCAGGTATGCATGTTACTAGGTTGAAATATGATGATACTCAATGTACCAAAGATAACCTGTTCCGGAATATGTGAAAGGTTTGTCATAAGTTAAATGAACATGCCTGATTCCAAAAATACACTCACATTTTGTGTGGTGCATAATGTGCAAAAGTTGTGGGGCAACCTTACTTTGGGAATCAGGCATGCGTGTTACTAGGTCAAGATATGATGATACTCAATGTACCAAAGATAACGTGATCCGGAATATGTGAAAGGTTTGTCATAGGGTAAATGAACATGCCTGATTCCACAAATACACTCACTTTTTGTGTGGTGCGTAAAGTGCAAAAGTTGTGGTGTAAACAAGGATTGGATTTCAGGTATGTGTGTGTTACTAGGTCGAAATATACAATTTGCCAAAC